CGGTGACCCTTCCTCAGAACTGTTCTGAGGAAGGGTCACCGGACCCGAAACATTAACTCTGTTTTCTTCTCCACAGATGCTGCCTACCTGCTGAGCTTTTCCAGCAACTTTGTTTTTGTTCCTGATTTACAGCATCCGCAGTTCTTTTGGTTTTTATTATGTATTATGTGCTGTTGTAGCTTTATATTATTAATATCTATGTACTACTTCCTTTGTACTACACTCTCCTCAGATGGAGAATCTTTTTTGCTGCCATCAGTGGATTTAATTAGCATTCAAGGCTGTGTTCCTGTCAACATAATGTAATGCAAGCATAAATAATTTATGCACTGTTGGCTAATCCACTTCAGAATATTGTGAGAACAGACCTGCATCCTTGCTTTAACATAAGAATTCATAGAATCCCTACAGTGTGGAAACACGCCATTCGGCTCAAAAAGTCCACATTGCCCTTCCAAAGAGCATCCCACCCAAACCCATTCCCCTACCCCTGCATTTCCCCATGTCTAGTCCACCTAACCAAAACATCCCTGGACACTATGGGCAATTTAGCATGGCCAATCCATCTACCCTGCACATCCTTGGACTGTGAGAAGAGAATGAAAAATGTAACTCTCAAATGGAAAGTCTTTAAATAAAAACTTCTAAATATTTAAACAATTTGATTAATATAAATATTACAGAGCAATTTACACATCAAGTCTTGCCGGCTGAATTTGGATATTAAAATGTTAATATTTCAGATGTGGCAATTTGATGATTTTTTTTTATGAAGCCCATGCTTATGTTGAGTCATTAAACGCAAAGTACAGTCTGAGGATATTCTATAATCTTTAATGTTACTGAACTACAGCTCTACTAACTGACAGAATCCACCACTGGATTCCCTTTGGAATCACCTCACCTACACGAGAAGCAGGTTTCAATGGGGAATATTTTCCACTCGCTGACGAATGCCATCCATTTTTTTCCACTTTCCTAGTTAAACTACAGGCTGGGAGTTTCCTTTTCAAATTTAGATTTTGTTCCGTAGCGAATAAGACGAGGCTATTGGAAAGAAACTGGTCTGTGTGAGAGGGAGTTTGAACCATTAATATCATTTAATTTGCCACTTGCTGAATGGTACCAGTGGAGATAAGGATAGATAAGGCATATCTAGGATAACACTGCTGTGCATCATTTCCTCTGCGTGACAGAATTCATACTGAACAATCCTGAAAAAAAACTGCATTTATATAGCTTCTTTCACAAAATATGGATGACGTAGAGTATTTACAACTAATGAAGTACTTTTGAAGTGCAACTACTGTTGTAATGCAAGAAAATAGTTATTAAGATAAAACCAACTCCTGGAAAGGGAAATCCATTGATGCTGTATTTTTTTTGAATAGATAAATATCACTCGTTACAACAGAGAATTCCATTTGAATTGAACTGGAGAAAATCCCACCTTAGGTAAAACTGAGGATGCCTCAAATTGGTTAGTTTTACAATGACTTTCAGTTTCTTTCAAAGGCAGACTGAGGCTGGTGTTCTAACTCAGTAAAAGCAGCATACACTTTGATTCGTGCTCAAGTGTCTGACTAACTTGCCTAAAGAGAGATTTGACAGTCCAGCAACAGAACCAGTATTTATTTACATTGTACCAGCAGCATGCATGTATATCACAGGTCTTAGGGCGTAAAATCTAAAAATATTCTGGACATCTGCCCACAAGCTTACCTCTTCAGATCAACTGTCGTGACATTGAAGACCACACCTTTCAGCCACAAGATCATGAACAGTCGTTGAGAAAATGGACAATTACCAATGCTTTCTCCATCACTTCCAGCCTGCAGGACAATGAAACAAAAATCAAAACATTATTAATGCTACAGAACAACTCTGCTTTCCAATGGCCCATGTTGGTTATGTTAGTGAAGGGCACTTTATTCCTTCCAGATTTATTACATTTTCTTCTGATAGCTCTTACCATAAATGTCTTCAATACTGCATTGTAGAAGTTAGCATATTGCATCATGCAAACAGCATCGCCGTTATAAAGATCAGTAGGCAGTGTCAAAAATCAAAGATCCATAACACATCATTGCCATAACTGGATGGGCCAGATGATGGGAGCATTGTTGGGTACTAGAAATGAACATCTCGTCAAACAGATTAGTTGTGTCTGAGGAAGGGTCACCAGACCCAAAACATTAACTCTGTTTTTTCCTTCACAGATGCTGCCAGACCTGCTGAGCTTTTCCAGCAACTCTGTTTTTGCTCCTGATTTACAGCATCCGCAGTTCTTTTGGTTTTTATTTAGATTAGTAGTGTCCACAGTTTTATCTGTGAGAATGTGCTGAATGATCTGAAATCATCTAATGTAGTGCAAGAGTGAAAAATGTAACTTTCAAATGGAAAGTCTTTAAATAAAAACTTCTAAATATTGAAACAATTTGATGAATTTACACATCAAGTCTTGCCAGCTGAATTTGGATATTAAAATGTTAATATGGGGTTAAAATATTAAAGGGGTTAATCTAAATGTAGCTGAAGGGAAAAATGGCATCACAGTCCTGCTCTCAATCAGTATGTAGAGGTCCCTGTGAAATTGTAAGTGTCCAGATGTATGCTAAGTATAGGATCAGATACAACATTGTCCCTGATAGAAAATAGTCTGCTGCCATTGTTGTGGGTTAGTGAACCTCTGGACTACAGGTTTGGTGACATAACCAAATGTTTAAGCAGACAAAGAGATGCTGCTCATTTAATATAAATAGTGGAGAAGCACAGAACACTGGTTATACAACCATCCTTCTCTTTCACATCAAGAAAAGAATTATATTTATACAACACTGAGCAACAAATTTAACAGTGAACAACATGAAGAGATATTAGGTCAGAAGCTAGTTCAGAGGTAGGTGCAAAAGCATAATTTAAAAGGAGACAGGTAGTGAGGCAGACAGCTCAAGAAAGACTATTCCCTTGCACAGTTTAGTTCCAATGCAGTTGATGGGAGAAACATCAGCAATACAGTGAGCGTTCATTAAAGAAACCTTAGGCCAAACCTACTCCCTAAATCCCATAGCAGGACTTTGGAATTCAAAGAAAGTACAATACTACATAAAACTGTTACTGAAAGCACCTCTTCAAAGTACAATGTTCCTCACTTTGCTAATTTTATAAATCATCCATCTCTCAGGTCTGCCATGTGATCTATTCTCATCCAATCAGGAGCCTATGCATGAGATCACTGTGGCGCTGTAGTGCAGGAAGTGAGGTTGGAATACCATGTGCACAGAGTGGGAAGGATGGAAAACAAATTTACATTTGAAGATTTAAAATATTTGAACATTAATTTCTTTCATAAATTTGGAAAATATTAAAAACAAGAGTAACTTGTTCTTTTAAAAGTTGTCTAGGTCAGGAAATGAGATGGTTAATCTTAGCTGTAATCTTTTGGTCCAAAATCATCTCTCCATCTATTAAATTCCCTGATCTGGGAGAGTAATTCTGCAACTTCCTAAATCTTACTTGCTTTGACTTACTTCTTTTATTTGTCCCCAGGTATTTTCTGTATATTTTCCCGTACCAAAAAAATTAATTCCCAAATGTTTTAGTCTTTGTTCCCATGACAATTGAGTAGAAACGTATATAAAAAAATACACTTTTCCAGGAAGAGCCTTCATCTTAAAATTATGATACCTTTGCCAATAGTGCCCTCAATGAGAAAACAATTTACAATTTTTACAGACAGCAGATCCTCTCCTGAGATCAACAGCAAAGTTATTCCAGTGGCTCGATTGACATCAGGACAACGCAAACTGGAGTTGCAAGTTGGGACCATGTGGAACCCCAACACAGCACCACTGTCCCCTCTCCAAATACACTCCCAATCCTTCACACCACCTGACTTGACATCTACTCAAGACATAAAACAGACAACCCTGACTACTTTGCAACCTGAAACCCCCACACTCACACACAGAACCGACACTGCCCTCTCACCAAATGCTGACAACACCTCTCCAACTGAAACCCATTACCTACCAACTTCAAGACCCAACAAACCCCACCATTATGCAACTCCCCGGATGCAAGATTCAACAGCACCCTGACTCAAAGCAACCTCAACCCCATACCCCACTGCCAGTCCAAGGAAGGGTGATCTTATTGAAACATACAAGATTCTGAGGGAGCTTGACAGGCTAAATGTTGAGAAGGTATATCCACCAGTAGGAAGATGTTAAACTAAGGTATATAGTCACAAAATAAGGGGTAACCAATTTAAACTGACACGTAAAGTAATTGATTCTCCAGAGGGTACTGAAAGTCTGGAATTCGCTTCCTCAGAGAGTTGTGAAGGCTGGTTCACTCAAAATATTTGGAGAGGAGGTAGATAGATTGTTGAAATATGAGAGAGTGGAGGGCAATGATAAGTTATCAGGAAAAAGTTGAGGCCTGGAGCAGTTCAGCTATGATCTTGTTAAATAGCACAGCTGGTTTTACAGACTGAATGGCTTACTCCTGCTCCTATTTGTTATGTTGCCTCAGACCTGTTATCTCCCTCATTCAAACCAACACCCCCAAGCTAATAGACCCAAACACACCCTGTTCTACTACATCCTACACTGTACCTGAAACCCAACCTCCCCCACCCTGAACAGATGCCCTGACTGACACTAAGCTCTGATCAACTTACCTGGCACGCTACCACTCTATTTTCCTGGCATCCTATATAACTCACCCACCTGGTATCCTACCCACCTGGAATCCTACCCTATGAACCACATGGCACTTTATCTACCTCAATACCCTCACTCACCTTACGCACTTAGCCTTTCACTGTAGCTATCAACATGGCTACTGGACATTTAAACTACAAAATAGGGACAGAGGGCTAAAAAAGGGAGGCCATAGTTGCTATGAAGCTCTTCTTCATCATTAGATTCATGGATTCCATACAAGAAGCCCCATCCTGGAATCTCCAGTGCAGAAATCACCTCAAGGTAAGTGGCTAATGTTTAATCTAGTCAGGGTTGCCAGATGATCAGAATATCTCAGTTGATATATACTACTTTTGAACTAACATGGTGGCTCACCTTCGGGTGACTGTCTGTGTGGAGTTTGCACGTTCTCCCTGTGTCTGCGTGTTTTTCCTCTGGGTGCTCCGGTTTCCTCCCACAGTCCAAAGATGAGTAGACTAGATGGATTGGCCATGCTAAATTGCCCGAAGTGTTCAGGGACGTTTAGATTAGGTGGGTTATAGGGGGAATGGGTCTGGGTGGGATGCTCTGACGGTCAGTGTGGACTTGTTGGGCCGAGCGGCCTGTTTCCACCCTGTAGGGATTCTATTAAAAAACTCTATTAAAAAGATCCATAAGAATTTATCTGTTCAAGAGGAAGGGAGATAGTAAATTGAAAATGTGAGACTTATGTCTTGATTTTATTGTAAATGGACAATAACCATGGTTTTGGGTACCACTGCAGGCCAGTTGCTGCTGACTCCTGTTTCACTTAACGTTTATCCTCTTTTTTATGTAAGTTGCTTATACTGTTAGCTGCCTATCGCATTTCACACATATTACCGGGTGAATGTTGTGTCACAATCCAATTGTATGCATATTGAGCTCCATTGTTTCTGTTTTCTCAGTACCACATGTGATGTTTTGAGATTCATGTAAATAACAATGATGTAACATGTAACTGACATCAGTAAGAGAGAGAGACACCAACCTAGAATAAGCACATGAAGGGAGAGGACCTAGATGCTACACTAGAGAGTGCATTTGAGAACCTACTGTGTACCGGTATAAGTAAAAGGTGTATTACAGTACATAAGGACTTGAACAGCCTTACTTAGAAATAAGGAGCTTGCTGCCTCAGGGACAGTACATACGCAGAAAACCACAGCCCAGGGATTCTCCAAAATGGTGGCACAACTGTCTTAAAGCACAAGATAAAGCACTGGATGAAGTGTACTACCTACAAGATTGCATCCATGGCACATACACACATCTGGTCTGTTTGCTTTACCAGATGCCATTTTGGTGAGCATATCAAAGTGTGGACAGTTAGGATCCACTAGAAGCATGAAGAGTAGATACGGTAAATGCACCTGATTTAATGTCAGCGCTTTCATTTTGGAGATGAATGCTCCAGCTACTGCCATTTCTTAAAGAGGCAGAGCTGAATGCATAGTAGTATCCTCCACCTGTGTTATTAAAAGGAATCTGCTATCAGTTACTTTCAAATTAATTACAAATTGGTTTTATTGGATGTTGCTGCAAATGTGGGAGTCATTGAGCATCTTTGGTTGCAGGCATTGTTTAAAATTGCTGGAATCTATATGGAATGGTGTGGCACAGATCCCAAGGACTCCACACAAATTACATTCTCCGAGCCATCGGTCAACAGTTACATTCCCTGAGCCATGGTCCATTGTTACATTCCCTATGGACGACTACATGACAGGGAAAATGATCAGAGGCCACATTGAGCAGTACCAGCTACTGAAAGTAGGAGGAGCAATAGGCAGGAGAAGGATCTTCACCAGGTCACCATATCTGCTGAGGTGTGCAGAGAGCAATTCTCCTGTGGGAAACTTTGTGTTTAATAGAATAGCTGATGTCTCTACTGAAGATGCTATCGCTCGAATTTGCCAACTCTATTTTTCTCTCCAAAGATGCTGTAAGTCATGTCGAGTTTATCCAGCATTTTCTGCTTTTGTAATGAATTCTGAGTGCCATTTTTCCGGGGCAAAATGAAACGACTGAGAACTGAAGCAAAGATTAGATGTTACTGCAGTCATTCCTGACTTAATTTATTTTATGTAAAACTACTCTTGAGC